AAAAAAAAAAAAAAACGGATAAGTAGGATCCTGTCTAGGGAAAGCTTAACCTTGACCTCCCTTCATCCATCTAATGAATGTGAACAAGACAATAGTAATTTTTACTTTCATGAAGTTTATAGCTCTTCTCTAAGTCATTTTCTCTTCTCTGTTTCTTCTTTTTTAGATGAGAGAATTGGGCCAGATTATCTACCTGATTGATGATTATAAAAATACCTTCTTTGGGGCTGGGTGTGGTGGCTCATACCTGTAATCCTGGCACTTCGGGAGGCCGAGGCGGGTGGATCACGAGGTCAGGAGTTCCAGACCAGCCTGACTAACCCCATCTCTACTAAAAATACAAAAATTAGCTGAGTGTGGTGACATGTACCTGTAATCTCAGCTACTCAGGAGGTTGAGGCAGGAGAACTACTTGAACCTGGGAGGCAGAGGCTGCAGTGAGCCAAGATCATGCTACTGCACTCCAGCCTGGGCAACAGAGCAAGACTCTGTCTCAAAAAAACAAAACAAAACAAAACGAAACAAACCTTCTTTGTTTTGTATGAAATGGTAAAACTGGCTTTATTGATCATATTTTAGTTAAGAAAATAGCAGCCCTGCCTGGTATTTTGTTTAATTCCATTTACGTGAAATATCTGGAATAGGTAAATCCATATAGATAAAACACAGATTGCTTGTTTTCAGGGACTGGGGAGAGCGGGCGAATAGAGAGTAACTGCTTAATAGGTACTAGGTCTCCTTGGCCAGGCGCGGTGGCTCACGCCTGTAATCCCAGCACTTTGGGAGACCAAGGCGAGCGGATTACGACGTCAGGAGATTGTAGACAATCCTGGCCAACATGGTGAAAATCCGTCTCTACTAAAAATATAAAAATTAGCCGGGCATGGTGGTGTGTGTCTGTAATCCCAGCTACTCGGGAAGCTAAGGCAGGAGAATCACTGGAACCGGGGGGCGGAGGTTGCAGTGAGCCAAGATTGCGCCACTGCACTCCAGCCTGGGTGACAGAGTGAGACTCTGTCTCAAAACAAAACAAACAAAAAAAACAAACAAAAACAAAACAAAACAAAAAAATCTTTGGTACTAAGTCTCCTTTTGAGGTGATGAAACTATTTTGGAACCAGATAGACATGGTGGTTGCAGAACATTGTGAATGTTCTAAAGACCACTGGGCGCAGTGGCTCATGCCTGTAATTCCTGTACTTCCGGAGGCCTGGGCAACATGGCAAGACCCCGTCTCTACAAAAGTACATAAAATTAGCCGGGCATGGTGGTGCGTGCCTGCAGTCCCAGCTACCGAAGGCTGAAGTGAGAGAATCGCTTGGGCTTGGGAGGTCGAGGCTGCAGTGAGCTGTGATTGCACCACTCGACTCCAACCTGGACCACAGAGATCCTGTCTCAAAAATAAATAAATAAATAAACTCACTGAATTATTCACTTTTTCTTTTATTATTTTTTTACCTAACAACAATAAATTAAGCAAATAATTTACTTTAAAGTGGTTAATTATATGTTATGTGTAATTCGTTTAAATGTTAAAAAGGCCACCTAGGTTTCAAGTGCTTGGCTGGGCTGCGAGCCCTTTAACAACCTCTCAGACGGGAGGCGGGGCTAGAGGGGCGGACCTGTAAGAATCACGTGGGGCGACGCCTGCGCAGACGGGTCACGTGGTGGCTGGGCCGGGGAAATGGCGGCTTCAGGAGAGAGCGGGACTTCGGGCAGCGGAGGCAGCACCGAGGAAGCCTTTATGACCTTCTACAGTGAGGTGAACACAGAGTGAGGAGTAGTGGCACCGGGGCGACCTCTCCCAGATCTGCTTTCCCGGTGGACAAAGGCAGTGGCCGCCTGGCCTGGACCGTTGGGCGATTCCTTCAGTCCAATCTTCGGGGTGGCGGGGGTCTGGGGGTGTGTGAGCGTCTCCCACTGATAACTGCTGGGAGATCCCCCGGGCAACGAAAGAGGGGATGGTGTTCGACCTATCGAGGGAGGTGGCGAGTGCGTCCGAAGTAGTGCGGGCGCGCGGGCGGAGTGCCCCAAGTCCGCGGAGTCGGGGGCTGGCAGAGGCTGGGCCCTTCCTGGGAGTGACTTAGCCTTCTTGTCCCCCAAGACGTTTCTTAGTCCTCTGTAATGAGTTGTTTTAGTGGTTGTTTCTGCCATTCACTAACGCCAGGCACTGTGCATCATGCCAGTTAGGCATTATATTACCCCCCCTTTATAGATGACGAACCTGAGGTTTAGGGAGGTGAAATAGTTTGGGGCCTTACAGTAGGTTACAGCTTGCTCGGTGGTATGTTAGGACAGCAATGGGCATGTTCTGAGCCTCCTTTACTATCGCATCTCCAGCGCCTAGTATTTAGTGGATGCTCAGTAAATATTTGTTGAGTGAATGAATGAATAAATGAAATAAAAGCATGCCTTTTGGAGTCAGAATCTCAGATTAAGTTCTTACAAGGGGCTGGGCACAGTGGCCCACATCTGTAATTCCAGCACTTTGGGAGACCCAGGCGGGAGGAACCCTGAAGCTTGAGGCTGCAGTGAGCTATGATCGGACCACTGCACTCCATCCTTGGCGACAGAGGGAGACCCTGTCTGAGTCAGAATCTCAGATTAAATTATTGCAAGGGGCTGGGCACAGTGGCTCACATCTGTAATCCCAGCACTTTGGGAGGCCCAGGCGGGAGGAACCCAAAAGCTCGAGGCTGCAGTGAGCTATGATCGGACCACTGCACTCCATCCTTGGTGACAGAGTGAGACCCTGTCTCTTTAAAAAGAAGAAAAAAAAGGATAGAAAAAAAAATTCTTGGCGGGCGCGGTGGCTCACGCCTGTAATCCCAGCACTTTGGGAGGCCGAGATGGGCGGATCACGAGGTCTGGAGATTGAGACCACGGTGAAACCCCGTCTCTACTAAAAATACAAAAAATTAGCCGGGCGTGGTGGCGGATGCCTGTAGTCCCAGCTACTCAGGAGGCTGAGGCAGGAGAATGGCGTGAATCCGGGAGGCGGAGCTTGCAGTGAGCCGAGATAGCACCACTGCACTCCAACCTAGGCGACAGAGCGAGACTCTGTCTAAAAAAATAAAATAAAAATTCTTGGAAGATAGTTAACCTGACTGGACTTGGATTGAATTCTTCTTCTTCTTCTTCTTCTTTTTTTTGAGACGGAGTTTTGCTCTTGTCGCCCAGGCCTGGAGTGCCGTGGCATGATCTTGGCCCACTGCAACCTCCGCCTCTCGGGTTCAAGCAATTCTCCCGCCTCAGCCTCCCAAGTAGCTGGGATTACAGGTGCCTGCCACCACGCCTGGCTAATTTTTGTATTTTTGTTAGAGACGGGGTTTCACCATGTTGCCCAGACTTGCCTCAAACTCTTTATTTATTTATTTTGAGACAGAGTCTCACTCTTGCCCAAGCTGGAGTGCACAACTTCTGCCTCCTGGGCTCAAGTGATTCTCCCACATCAGTAGCTGGGACTACAAGCTCGTGCCCCTATGCCTGGCTGATTTTTGTATTTCTTTGTAGTGACAGGATCTTTCTGTGTTGCCCAGGCTGGTCTGAAACTCCTGGGCTCAAGCAGTCCTCCCGCCTTGGCCTCCCAAAGTGTTGGGATTACAGGCATGAGCGACTGTGCTTGACAAGAGAATTAATTTTAAAATAAACATTTTCATGAGTACTAAAGTTATTGTATAAGAAAGCGTTTCATAAAAAAATAAAGCGGAAGCATCTTTCTTAGGGTTCAACAAGGCAGAAGATGGGATCTCTAGGTTGGCATGGGTTTGAGATATGGAGTTGCCCCCCAGCAGGCTGTGAGCTATTCAGTGTTAAGGACCGTATCACATTCATCTTTTATTTCTTGCATTTGTAACAGTGCTTGTTACATAGTAGTTTCTCCAAAGTACTAAATTTAGGTTTAGACACCTGGCAGGCGCTACCTGTAGTCTCAGCTGCTCTGACGGCTGAGGTGGGAGGATTGGAGGATCACTTGAGCCCAGGAGGTGGAGGTTGCAGTGAGCCATGATCTGTCTTCTGTCACTGCAGTACACCCTGGGTGACAGAGCAAGACCCCTTCTCAAAAAAACAAAAACAAACAAAAAACCAAATAGCAATCTTTGTTTGTTTGAATTGGATGGGAAAAAATATCTAAGGAAGGATGCTTCATTTTTTTTTTTTATCCAAAATGTGTTTATTGAGATGATTTCCCACTCATCTTGATTCAGAGTGCTTTTAGTGCTGCTTCCTCCTAAAGGAACATCCTTCTGTAAGCCTTGCTTTTCCTCCTGTAGGCTGGCAGAGGACAGTGGAACAGCCAACACACAAAACTACCGTTTGTGCATGGCTGAAGACCATGGTGATTTTATAGCATCCTGGGCATTTCACATCCATGAAGTAGAAATTGGGGCTCTGCACCAGGCGTTTCTTCTTGTGTTTCCTCTTCTCTTCTGGGGAGGGATGAAGGAGATCCTTTGTGAGAGGCATGTTCTTGTGTGGGTAGGTCGTCACCGCCGGAAAAAAGGCTTCAGTCATTTTTTTAAAAAATAGAGATAGGGTCTTGCCATGTTGCTCAGGTTGGTCTTGAATTCCTGCGCTCAAGTGATCCTCCTACCTCAGATTCCCAAAGTGCTGGGATTACGGGCATAAGCCACCACACTGGCCTTATTCATTTAACAGATGTTTATTGAACATTTGAAGTGTACTAGTGTGCTATTTAGGTGTTGGGGATATGGTAGTGAACAAAAGAGGAAAAAAAATCCTGTTTTCTTAGAGTGAAGAGGGAAGATGTCTAGAAGGAATGACTTTTTATGTTAATGAAATGCTTTCCAACCTTGTTTTGGCCATAGGAATAAAGATGACATATAGCATACCAGAGATTCATTCCAACTAGCATTCCAACTCTGACAGTGACACCAAGAATGTTTTCCTGGGACTGCCTGGTGCTTGTTCTCCCTGGCATTGTCTTCAGGTCAGGGATTTTTCTTTTTTCTTTCTTTCTTTTTTTTAAAATTAAAAATAGAGACGGGGTTTCGCCGTGTTGCCCAGGCTTGTCTCAAACTCCTGAGCTCAAGCAATCCACCCACCTCAGCCTCCCACAATGCTGGGATTACAGGTGACAGCTACTGCGCCTGGCCAAGTCAAGGATTTTTCCTAACACTATTAGAATTAGGTGGTGGAGTTATTTGTTCCTTCCCATCAACAGTTTTAAATGCTGCTCATAGTTTATGTCTTACTGTGATTGTATTTTTCCTTTTTTTGCTCTTTAAATTTTTTTTCTTTTTTTCCCCCACAGAGAAATCTCTTTTTTTTTTTTTTTTTTGAGATGGAGTCTCGCGGTGTCGCCCAGGCTGCTGGAGTCCAGTGGTGTGATCTCGGCTCCCTGTAACCCCTATCTCTGGGGTTCAAGCGATTCTCCGGCCTCAGCCTCCTGAGTATCTGGGACCACAGGCCATGCCACCATGCCCGGCTAATATTTTGTAGTTTTAGTAGAGATGGGGTTTCACCATGTTGGCCAGGATGGACTCCATCTCCTGACCTCGTGATCTGCCCACCCTGGCCTCCCAAAGTGCTGGGATTACAGACATGTGCCACTGTGCCCAGCCTTTTTTTTTTTTTTCCTTAAAATTAAAAGCTGTAAATGAAGTATAACCACACACAAGCACATCTTCTGTCATTAAAGTGGAAGTTCTTTAAAGGCTGTGACTTATTTATCTTTGAATCCTCTTGATGCATGCTGTGGGGTCAAACTGTTGGGGTTAAAATTCTGGCTTACAAGTTGGGTAATTGGGAACAAGTCAGTTATCTTCTCTAAGCCTCAGTATTCTTATCTGTGAAATAGGTACAATAGCAGTATCTACCACATAGGGTTGTTGAGATTAATAAATACAGGTAAGGTTTTTATATTAAAATTCAACAAATGGTAGTTGTAATTTCTCAAAGCGTTTATCAAAATGTCTTGCACATGGTAAACACACAAATAAATGTTTGTTGAACATATCAGTGAACGTTGTGTTAAGATAAACAATTCAGTTTGTTATTGAATTCTATTAATGAAGTTTTTAATCCTCATAATTTTAGGTGAAACAAATAGAGAAAAGAGACTCGGTTCTAACATCGAAAAATCAGATTGAAAGACTGACCCGTCCTGGTTCCTCTTACTTCAATTTGAACCCATTTGAGGTAAGCTGATTGGTGTTGCTAGGACCTCTGTAATGGAGGATGTTTGCATAGCTGCAGGCATACCTACATCAGAATACATACCTAATTTATATCATAGTTAGGATTGTGAAAAATGGTGGAGTAAAGTGATGGAATTTGTATAGTACAAATTGAGTATCCCTTATCCAAAATGCTTAGGACCAGAAGTTTTTTGGATTTTGGATTTTTTTTGGGATTTTGGAATATATACATCCATTCTACTCACTTGCTGGTTGAAGCATCCCGAATTAGAAAATTCAGGATGTTATTGAGCATTTTCTTTGAGCATCAATTGACTCTCAAAAAGTTTCAGATTTTGGAGCATTTTGGATTTTGCATTTTGCATTTAGAGGTACGTAACTGTATATAGATTGTCTTTAAACTTGGTTGGTTTTACTGAGCAGAACTAGAGAGGCAGCATGTTAAGAAAAGTGAGATGGTCACATACCTTTCATCATCTTTTAGCAACCCAAATATATAAGGATTTAATTTCAGATGTGAAGGGGCGGCTAACTCTGATAAATTTAGGATTCTTTTTTTTTTTCTTTTTTTTTGAGACGGAGTCGTGCTCTGTCCCCCACGCTGGAATGCAGTGGCGCGATCTTGACTCACTGCAACCTCCTCCTCCCGGGTTCAAGCAATTCTCCTGCCTCAGCCTCCCAAGTAGGTGGGATTACAGGTGCCTCCCACTGCGCCTGGCTAATATTTGTATTTTTAGTAGAGATGGGGTTTCACCATGTTGGCCAGGCTGGTCTCGAACTCCTGACCTTGTGATCCGCCTGCCTCAGCCTCCCAAAGTGCTGGGATTACAGGCATGAGACACCGCTCCTGGCCTAGGATTCTTGATTTAAACTACTTGTTAAAACTTTTCTGTTTCACTATAGTAAATACCAAAAACCCAACAACAACAAAACAAAGATCACAGGATTTTAGATAAGTGAATATACTTTTTCATTTTCTTAATTTTATAACTTTAAACTTTTCCTGATTATAAAAGTAAATCATATTTCTTGTAAATGTACAGAAAGCAAGAATAATCATGTATAATCCCACCTAAGAGAAATAGCCACTCATGTTTACACTCAAACTGTTTTGCTTAAAAACAGGGAGCATCATACACTTAGTCCTTTTTTTTTTTTTTTTAAAGAGATGGAGCCTCATTATGTTGCCCAGGCTGGATTAGAACTCGTGGGCTTAAGTGATCTTAACCTGCTCAGCCTTTGGAGTAGATGGGACTACAGGCTTATGGCACCACGCCTGGCTCAGCTCAATATGGTTTTATTTTATTTTGTTTTATTTTTTTGAGACAGGGTCTCATTGTCACCCAGGCTGGAGTACAGTGGTGCAATCATGGCTCACTGCACCCTTGAACTCCTGGGCTCACATGATTTGCCCACCTTGGGCTCCCAAAGTGCTGGGATTACAGCCATTCGCCACCATGTGCAGCCTCAGGGCTGTTTTAAATGCTTTTTTTTTTAGATGAAGCCTCAATCTGTCACCTAGGCTAGAGTATAATGATACGATCTTGGCTTACTGCAACTCCACCTCCCAGATTCAAGTGATTCTCCTGCCTGTCCTGCCTCAGCCTCCTGAGTAGCTCGGATGACAGGTGCCTGCCATCATGCCCGACTAATTTTTGTGTTTTTAGTAGAGACAGGGTTTCGCCATATTGTCCAGGTTGGTCTCGAACTCCTGAGCTCAGGTGATTCACCTGTCGCGGCCTCCCAAAGTGCTAGGATTATAGATGTGAGCCGCTGCCTGGCCAAAAAAAAAAAAAGAAAAATTAATTTTTCTTTTTATTTTTTGCAATTCTTGACAAAATATTAACATCTTTAATCATAAATGAACTCTTCAGAAATCAGTACAAAGAGACTAACATTACACGGGAAGTGAAAATAAAAGGAACAGAGGAAAATGGAATAGCACAAATGAGTTATAAGGCTATATGAAGATGACGTATAGTTAATACTAATAGTTGAGAAAGCAATTTCGTTATAAATTACATTATCAATGCTTACAAATATTGATATCTGATGTTTGTACAACTTTAGGAAATGAAGAGTTCTCAGATACTCAGGAAACTTACTCTAGTCATGAGGAGTTTACTCAAAAATGTAGATTTTTGCATAAACTTGGCCCCAGCAATTCCAAACCACAGGAATCACTCCGACGAAGTAGTTGGATACACACACATATACATACATTTTTACTACATGGTAGATGTGTAAGTAATATATCATCCCCCAAGAAACTATTTATGAACTGGTTATAAAATAATAGCCTGGGGGGTAAAAAAAAATTCTGTATAATTTATTTAATAATTTCTTTATTGTGGAATAGTTCAACTAGTTTATTTCTTTCTAGATTTTTTTGTTTTTGAGATGGCGTCTCACTCTGTTGCCAAGGCTGGAGAGCAGTGGCGTAATCTCGGCTCACTGCAACCTCCGCCTCCTGGGTTCAAGCGATTCTCCTGCCTCAGCCTCCTGAGTAGCTGGGACTACAGGCGTGTGCCACCACGCCTGGCTAAGTTTTGTATTTTTAGTAGAGATGGAGTTTCACCATATTCGCCAGGCTTTTCTCAAACTCCTGACCTTGTGATCTCTCTACCTCGGCCTCCCAAAGTGCTGCAATTACAGGCGTGAGCCATCACACCTGGCTCTTTAAAAAATTTTTTTAACAGGCAGCCCTCTGAACCAGAATAGGTTTAGAGAGACTCCCTAAACTACTTTTTAATTGTTCACATTTACAAATAATTTTGAAGCGAATATTTTTGTATCTGTTAAATAATAGAAACAACACTTATTGGGCACTTAGAAAAAACTCCCCTCACTTTTTTTTATTGTGGAAAAATATACATAACATAAAATTTGCCATTTTAGCCAGGTGTGGTGGCTTATGCCTGTAATCTCAGCATTTTGGGAGGCCGAGGTGGGAGGATCATTGGAGGCCAGGAGTTCGAGACCAGCCTGGCCAACATGGCGGAACCCAGTCTCTGCAAAAATAATACAAAAATTAGCTGGGCATGGTGGTGCATGCTTGTAATCTCAGCTACTTGGGAGGCTAAGGCCCAAGAATCACTTAAACCCAGGAGGTGGAGGTTGCAGTGAGCCGAGATTGCGCTACTGCACTTCCAACCTGGGTGACAGAACAATACTGTCTCCAAAAAAAAAAAAAAAATTACCATTTAAATTATTTTGAGTTTTACAATTTAGTGGCATTAAGTACATTCACAGTGTTGTGTAACCATCACCACTGTTCATATTCAGAAATTTTTCGTCACCCCAACTAGAAACTTTGTATCTGCTAAACAGTAAGTCCTCATTTTCTCCCTGACCCCTGGTAACCTCTACTCTATCTACTTTGTCTATGAATTTGCCTCTTCTAGGAAACCCATGTAAGTGGAATCATACTGTATTTGTTACTTTGTATCTGGCCTATTTCACTTAGCATGATATTTTCAAGGTTCATCGATTTTCTGTTTTTTGAAGAGTAATTTTTCAAGAATTTTTTCATTTTGAAACAGTCTCAGATTAACAGAGATTTCAAATACAATATGAAGACTTTTCCTTGAACTCTTTGAGAATAAATTGTTAGAATGATGATCCATCACCCTGATATACTTTAATGTGATTTTTCTACAACTATCCTCTTACTGAACCACAATGTAAACTATCAAAATCAGTAAATGAACATTGAAACATTGTTACTTTGTAAATCATCAGACCCCATTCAAATTTTACTAATTGTCCCAAAAAAATCTTTCTCAGGGCCTCTCTGAATACATTGTTACTATATAATCATCAGACCCCATTCAGGTTATACTAATTGTCCCAAAAAGGTATTTTTCAGAGCCTCTCTGTTGCTCAGCTCCCTGCATAGCTCACTGCAACCCCGAACTCCTGGGCTCTGGGCTCAATTGATCCTCCTACCTCAGTTTTTCAAAATATTGGGATTAAAGGTGTGAGCCACTGTGTTTGGCTCTTTGGTTGGTTGGTTGGTTTGTTTTGAGACAGAGTCTCACTCTGTCGCCCAGACTGGAGCGCAGTGGCAGGATATTGGCTCACTGCAACCTCTGCCTCCCTGGTTCCAGTGATTCTCCTGACTCAGCCTCCCAAGTAGCTGGGATTACAGGCACCTGCCACCATGCCTGGCTAATTTTTTTTTTTTGTATTTTTAGTAGAGACGAGGTTTCGCCCTGTTGGCCAGGCTCGTCTCAAACTCCTGACCTCAAGTGATCTTCTAGCCTTGGCCTCCCAAAGCACTGGGATTACAGGCATGAGCCACCGTGCCTGGCCTCTTCTTTTGATTTAACTTGTAAGGCCCTGTCAGGCGAGCACTGTAGTCTCTTCCTGTTTGTTTTGTTCAGCACCTTGGAAGGAAAGGTGCTTATCTCACAGGACTCTGGAACTGGCACATCTTTAATAGGTCAGAGAGTTCAGGTGTGACCTAATACTGGATTCCTTTTTCAAGCAGAAGATCCTAAAGGAGACTGCTGTTATATTTTGAGTTCAGGAACTTACCTGAATGCAACAGTTAAGCATTTTTGTTTCTGTGTGATGATCAATTAGCTCCCTGAGGTTCAAGACTATAGGTCTCTCCCTCCATATCCTCAAAGCCTGAGACACAACAGGTGTTCAGAAAAACCTTCCAAGAATCTGAACAGACCTGTGTGCTTGCAGCCATGTTGGTAATAAGGCATTTATCATTTTTGTCAGAAATACTTATTACTTGTCTCTCCCTTATCTACTGTGAGAACAGTAATTCTTAAATTCTGTGAGGACAGTAGAGCTATGGTTAGAATGTGTCCCCTAGATTCATGTGTTAGAAACTTAATCCCAGTACAGCAGCTTTGTGGGGTGGGGCCTAATAAGAGGTGATTAGATCACAAGGACTCTGCCCTCACAAATGGATTAATGTTCTCAGCTTGGGATTGGATTAGTTATCTCAAGAATGGACTTGTTATATACGTGAGTTTAGCCCCCTCTTGCCCTTACCTGATGACGGCCCCTCAACCTTGAACTTCCCAGCCTACAGAAGTATAAGAAATACATTTCTTTTCTTTATAAACTGCCCAGTCTATGGTATTCTGTTCTGGCAACACAAAACAGACTAAGAAAAGTAGTGAGCACAGTATCTAGCTATGTTAGAAACTTTTTGTGGTCTAAAAGTTGGTACTGAATGTATAAAGCTGGCTTCAAAGAGGACCAGCCACAGGTAAAAGTTCATTGTCTTCACTGTGCCACATGTGACACCTCCAACTCTTAAAGACAAAAGAGGAGTTGGATTGGCTTTGAAGGCACTCAGTGAATATTCGTTCTGATATAACTCTTGGAAAAACAACTTTTGGAGTGTGTGTTTGTATGTGTATGTAGGTATATATACTGTCTTCTTTTTTGCCCAATCATGTGGTGAAAGTAAGCTCCAGATGTTAACAGTTAATGCCTAAATACTTTAGCGTGCATCTCCTTGAAACAAGAACACTTCCACGTAACCACAACACCACTATCACGTGTTGGAAGATCACACTAAGAAAGAATAGAAAGGCTGGGTACAGTGGCTCACGCCTGTAATCCTAGCACTTTGGGAAGCTGAAGTGGGCAGATTGCCTGAGTTCAGGAGTTTGAGACCAGCCTGGCCAACATGGTAAAACCCCATCTGTACTAAAATACAAAAAATTAGCTGGATGTGGTGGCACGCGCCTGGAGTCCCAGCTACTCAGGAGGCTAAGGCAGGAGAATTGCTTGAACCCAGGAGGTGGAGGTTGCAGTGAGCCAAGATTGCTCCACTGCACTTGACAGAACAAGACTCTGTCTCCAAAAAAAAAAAAAATAGAAATCGTCCCACCTTCACAAAAAAAGCCTCTAATAAAATTAGAGCTTAGGAAATTTTAGCCATAGGAAAACAACATTAAGTAACTTTATCCAGCATACAGTCGACATGCAGATGGGCCCAGCTGTCCCCAAAATCTCCTTTATCACTATTTTAGTTTTTTTTTTTAAACTCAAGAACCACTGTAACCATTTTACTATCTGTATATATCCCATAACATCATGTTGTAATCCCCAAATACAGCAAAATTTATTTTTAAAAAAGAAATCAGTCAGCGTTTATGTATTACATTTGGCGTGATTAGTTGTAAGCCATAGCCTTATCAGAGGCGTTCTTTGTGAGGGTGGGACAAATTCTGTTCTTTTTCATTTATTTTGGGCGCCTTCTGGGACTCGTTGGACTTTGGTTTGCCCCTAGAGATTCCTTTTCCTCAGAACTAGTGGCTTTCCTATGAATATTTTTGTATGAACAGTCACCGCCCCTCGTCTGTAAATCTTATGGGACTTGGCTTTTCCTATTGAGGGACTTTCCCAATTCCTTTCTCCCTTGGGAAGGTGTGAGAGGGGGGCTCACTGACTTGAAAATTTTCATTTTCTTGCGCCACCACCCTGGCTAATTTTGTATTTTTAGTAGAGAGGGGTTTCTGCATGTTGGCCAGGCTTGTCTCAAACGCCTAGCCTCAAGTGGTCTCCCTGCCTTGGCCTCCCAAAGTACTGGGATTACAGGCGTGAGCCACTGCACCTGGCCAGGGAGACCCCATCTCTAAAAAAGTTTTAAAAAGTCACCGGGCATGGTTGTGTGCTCCA